CATTATCTTTCAATAATGAATTCGATCGATTTGTCATCCAAAAAAAGAAAAAATTTTCTCCCATTTTATTATGATAATGATTGTTATGATTTTTGTTTCATCAGAATAAACTGAAAAAAAGAAAAAATATTGGAATAGGATAGTTTAACAAAAATTAAATATGATAACAGATTGAAAATTTACAACAATCAATTTCTCATTTCGAATTAATCATTTTGATAAGTTTAAAAATTAGATACTGAATATATTTCAAGCGATTATCATTTTATTTGCATTTTTTAAGCATATAAGTGAATAAAAAAAAGGAAAAAAGAAAAGAAAAAAACCGTAAAAAAATTTAAAAAAATTTTTATTTTTTTTCTCAATTTAAAAAAACTTTTATTATTAATATAAAAATTTATAATTATATTAAGATTCATGCTTATAATTATCATTATAAGAACAATGGATATGTATTACTATCATCAATTGGATTAATCATAGAAATTAATTGCGATACTTTCCAAAAATTCATCATTTTTCTCGTTTTTAAAAAAAAAAAATGTATGCTTTTTATTGTCATCCTAAAATTGCCAATTGTTAATTTAAATTTGTTTACTAGAATGAGTTTCAATAATAATTTTATCGATAAAAAAATGTTATTTTTCTAGCTACAAAACAATGCTTATTTTCTTTTCCATCCTTTTTTTTTCCAATTTTATTTTATTTTATTCTTGATTTGAATTCTATTTTACTATCTTTCACCTTCAGGAATAGAAATATTTTCAAATGTTTTATAAATTTTTCATACCTGTGTGGTTTTTTTTCTCTTCTTTTCCTTTCTATCCTCTCTTTCTCTCTCTCTCTCTCTCTCTCCCCATTCCTTTTTTAATATAATATAATAGAAAAAAAAAGAATTACATATAGGCTAATTACACTGATTTCAGTACTTTCATGATGATTTGCAAAATCAAAATTTATACGATAAAATTGAATAATCCAATTAGGATAAAGTTAAAGGTAGGATAATAAGTAAATTATTTTTGATACGTGACAATTTTCTTATTTAGTTTATTTAACGGAAAAGACAAGAAAATGAACAATTTATTTTAGGTATTATTTAGGGATTTCATATTATAACCATATTTTACATGCATCAATGGTCATCGCTTCCTTAAATGACCATTTTCTATTCAAATATTTCGCCTACTAACAGATTATGATAATCAATGTATTAAATTAAAGAACAATTTTGTCAAATAAATCCTCAACTAATTGGAACGATAAATTGAAATATTCCGTATTTTCGACGATAAAATGAGATATTCTATATTTCCGAATATAAATTAAGATATTCCGTATTTCCGAAAATAACCCCGAGATATTCCATACTTTCATCTAATTTAAAAATTGGCCAACATTTGACCTCCTCATTTTTATTCATTTCTTTCAATCATTCCCTCTAATGTTCATCATTCACAGTTGGACCTACTTCCTTTTTATCTTCCCTATCCTCCAACCATTCATTTCATCACTTCCATTTTGTTCAAATTCTGGTTTTAAACTATTGGTAAAGATTTGTTGAAACCGGAAATACTGAAGTATACTGTTATAGCAATAACCAAAACATTTACGGAATTGATAAACAAAGCATATTTATGGAATAATTCTAGGAAGAATAAAATGTGAAATTTTCAATTCAAAACAAAACAAATAAAAAAAAAAAGCACACATTGAATAAAAAATTCAAACGAAAAAAAAATTTAAAAACAAAAAGCAAACAAAACAAAAAGAAAATCAAGCAAAAAAAAAAAATTTTATTTTTTACCATTCTTTCCTACTAAAAAATTATTTCTAAAAAAAAAAAAATTGAAAAGACAAAAAATTTTGATTGAATTTATCATATTACAATTTCAAATTATATAGTTTAATTTTTGTTGCAACAAGAAAATTTCCTTTGAAATAAACCGCTAATCAATAATGCTATTCTTTAACACTAGCTGATAGATTCACAGATGCATTTAGTGCTTAGCAGTCAGGAGGGATTCAACCAGTGCTTTCTGCCATCATTAACATATATTCATGTCTGTGTATGTGTCTGTCTACTTGCCCATCTGTTTGTATATGTACGCGTCTGTCGATGTGCATATGCGTGCCTGTCTGTATGTGTGTCTGTGTCTGTGTGTGTATGTGTTTGTATGTGTGTGTGTGTGTGTGTATGTAGTATGTATGCGAAGATCACCATCATTCCTCAGCCAAAAATCTTCGTCGTATTTTTGAAATCCCGCGAGGAGAAACAACAAAAGCATCTTGGGTGGTCTAATGTTCAGTTGTTGCACAATGAATAGTTGCCACATTTTTCCAGTACACATTATAATGTCAAAAAAAAGGGTTGACACATGATGAGTGACATGATGGGTGGTCTATGATGTTGGCATGTTTAAGTGAGAATTTTTTTTTGATCGGTTAACATCGTGTGAGGTTAGTGAATATGATAGGTTTTGTTGTAATTTGGTGCTGCTACTTTAATGGGGCGGTAATGGTTTAGGGTATTGTGCATTGACGTGAATCAACCACGTAATATGATGTAAAGAAAAAGATAAGATAGAAATGAAAAAGTAATGTGAAATACAGATATTTGTGGAAGGGATAAATAGCGCCAAAATTAAGCAATCTGAATGTTACGCTTTAAGCAAATTATTGCTATTATTAAAATGTCTGTGAATTTGAATATTTCAAGATTATTCATTAATTTGATCAATCCCAAAGAATGGTTATTTTCCCATCTTTTTTGCCTTAAAAAGTTGCATTTTTTATCCTAAATAAACCCCGAAATGAGATGAGATTTGATATTTAATCCTCTAAAATTTATTTGGAAGAGCGATTTTTGTGTTTTTAAAATTCTAAATTCACTGGAAGGAAGAAATTGGAAATCATGAAATGAAGTTAATTATCCGAAAATGAAGCTAAATGAAGGAATTCGACCAGATATTAGCCCAAGAATTTACAGTAATTTTAGGTGAAATCAGGCTTGATAAGATTACTTTTATCAGGTTATCTGTCACTCATTACCCGATTGATAAGCAGTTACCGTTTAAAAATTGCTTTTTATCAAATGTCTGTTGCAATTTCGTTTACGGAAAAAATTATAACATTTGGAATTTAAATTGCACGATAAATCAGTACAATTTAAATTTCATATGTCATATATTGAAAATTTGTATAAAACATTATAAATTATTTTCAATAAATGATCAATAATTCCCTAATATTAAAATAAAGTAAACATTTAAATCGTTTAAAAACATTTAAATCAGTTAAATCGTGGACATTTAAATTGTTTAAAAACATTTAAATCAGTTAAATCGTGGACATTTAAATTGTTTAAAAACATTTAAAATCAGTTAAATCGTGGACATTTAAATGTTTAAAA